TTTACAAGCTACAGCTAATATGATCTATTTAACCCTTATTTTGTTATAGCTATTCTAATCTTCACCCTTTTTTAATGAAATATGAAGATCTGTTCTTTAGATCGCTCGCAGAGGTATTGAAAAATAAAATAAAAACACTTATATTTCCGAGCTACAGATAATACAATTAGCAATTAGTGCTAAAACCTATCGAGCCGCACCTTAATAGGTTATAGCTATTTAATATGCCCTCTTGGTTATATCCGAGACTAATTGCTCCACTTTTCACTTCCTACCTCTGATGAGGAATCATGTGAACGCAAATGACGAAGGAAAATTCAAATTTGTAACAAAAACAAACCTCTCAACGATTCGGGATTCTCGAGCTACAAAAGCAGGTAAAAATATTGCATTGTCATAATCATTGATGGGCAAGGCTAGAGTGGACTGTGTAGACGGTTAGAATTTTGCAACCGACAACCTATATTTAGTTTAGAGTTGTCTGGTTGAGCGAGCCAAGTTCGAGTCAAGTACGAGTCGCAAGTCAAACACGAGTCATATACAGTTTTCCCTAAATTTATTAATTCTTTTTAAAGCAAAAATTGAATTTGAGAATTTTGTTATTATTGGCATCTGATTCTTACTGAACAAGGTTCTCTTCAACTGAAACTAGACAAAAGGTATTGCAGGGGTACAAGCTATATTACAAGATATAGCTTAACTAAACTGAAACAACCATGAAACAACCATGCTCGCCTGCAACAAATAATCGTCTCCCTAACCCTTTGGTCTGCTATATCTCTCCACCACCTCAATCAATGCTACAACCCCTCCTTTGAAAAAATCCTGAATCCGCCCCTGTAAAGCCATATTACATGGCCATCGTTCTATCGTTGTGGAAAGCCATAAAAGCACAAAATTTATGCGTTGACCAACGAAAACCTTTTGTGTGTGTTTGTGGCAGAATTAAACACAATATTAAAAGAAAAAACATCTGTCAACTCCAAAACATGGAGCGTTTCGAATTAAAAACTAAACGCATCAATTTGGACTGAGGAAGGTCTGCAGATGTCCCTGTTTATGAATTTATTAACTGTCACCTCTAGCTTATTACTATTTACACCACAGGGAACCCGGCTATATTTTTTTGCTTCTTTTAGAAAAGTAGCTTTGCTCTTTGTGGGTTTCCTGTGTTTTGATCTGTTTTTTTAGCTGTAATCAGATCGGCGCTGTAAACTGATAGCCGATTAAATTCAAATTAATAACCATTGGTGTTTTGTTTCTTATGGGTTGCCTGTGGTGTGTAACGCACTGTCTAGTAAACACTCAAAAGAAGACTGCTTACTAGAGAGTGCGTTACACACCACAGGCAACCCATAAGAAACAAAACACCAACGGTTATTAATTTGAATTTAATCGGCTATCAGTTTACAGCGCCGATCTGATTACAGCTTATGTATAGGAAACCGATCAAAACACAGGAAACCCACAAAGGGCAAAGCTACTTTTCTAAAAGAAACAAAAAATGTATAGCCGGGTTCCCTGTGTTTATATTACATGCCGTAAAGTCAAGTCAAGGCGAAATTTTATTAACACATGCCCAATACTATAAGCCTTTTCATAGTTTAAGGTGGCTGCCTACTTTTGAACGTTCGATTTGAGCCCACGATGTGCGCGCGCTCAAAAACCGCTGAAAAATCTACAAGATTTTATTGAAGAACCATACACGTTTTGAGCTTCAACAGGGCAAAACCCTCAAATTTTGCACGGGAYTCTMTATTTTTYGATAGCTCATTCGAAAAAACTCCTAAAAATCAAGGTTATATGAACATTTTAGGAAAAGTTTAAATCAGGAACACGTGAAAAAATAGATTTTTGTAGGGATTTTTGTTCGACTTTATGAGATTTTTTAAGAGCACCGAAACTACAAAATATGACAAATCAATGTATCTCTCTGTCTTTTTGTCGAAAATATCCATGTATTATTGTAGAAGGATTAACTAGCCTTCGTTCGTGCCATCATATAGTCTGCAAATAGCTATTATCTTATGAATCTTTTTTTTTTTTCTAATCACTTCCGGTGGCGCAATTTTTACTCCAAAAGCTCGTGCGTAGGCTCCCATTAAATGCTGATTATCTCGAAAACGAGCTCGGGACACCTTATTTTTCTTTCCAGGTTTGGAATCAGCATTAAATTTCAATTCGGAAAATCGAAGTTTTAAGAAAAGCTTAAATCAATTTCCAAAAGTAGGCAGTCACCTTAAGAATCTATTCCACTGCGCATGCGATTTTATCCCGAATTTCTCACCTTCTTTTGTTTAATTAAGAACAAAATAAGGTTTAGACAAAAGAAAGTAGAAATTCGGGATAAAATCGCATGCGCAGTGGAATCGATTCTTAAACTATGAAAAGGCTTATTGGTCTTATCTAAACTATAGTTATATATGGGAGATTTTGAATTTGTTAACCAGCTTTTGAGAATTAAAAAATTTAATTTAAAGCTAGTTGATTTTTTTAAACTTTGCGTTTGTATGGGATAATTCCTTATTTTTAGCCTATTTTCTAAGATGAAATAAAAAGAAACGCTAACTAGCGAACAAATGTTTCAGAGTTCGATCTGTGAGTTAGCCGTGCCCTGACTTAGATCAGCCCAGAGGTAGTTTCAGGGTTTGATAACATTTGGAAGGTTTTTGAGGACTGGTCAGGCTCGATCCTAGTTCCTCTAGATATTAATAGTAATGATAAAAAAGTAAATTATACAACGTGAAAAGATGAAAAAACTTACTGACGTTTCGGACGCTAGTCCTTCGTCGGAGTCCTTTTACTCTGACGAAAGACTGACTAGCGCCGTCCGAAACGTCAGTAAGTTTTTTTTATCTTTTCACGGTGTATAATTTACTTTTTTATCATTACTGTTTCATTAGGAACACCGACGCAGGTCACACTAGTTTTTTAGCTAGTTATCTCTTCTAGATATTAATAGTTTGATATTTGCTAGTTATAGATGCTAATTACTATCAATAATATAAAATATTGACATCGGAAAAATAATATCTTAAAATTCCCTCATTAGGCTATTCGGTTACAACCGACAATCATGTGGACTTCGTGGATTTTTGTGGCAGAAACGGTTGTCATAGTAACAGGAAATGTTACCCTCTTGATCGTATTCACCCGTACACCAGCACTGCGCAAGCGCAAGCACTACCTACTGATAAATCTGGCGGTGGCTGATTTTCTCGTAGGAGTAATCTCAGTGCCAATGTATGGAACGATGCCCTTAATCAGCTACACAAGAACCGCAAATATAATGTATCAAGTCCAGGATATTTTATTTGGAACAGCATCCGTGTTTGGTTTGGCAGCAGTCGCCATTGAGCGAGCTTATGCCGTATATTTCCCATTCAAACACCGTACACTTTGGAAGGGCGTGTACATGATCGGTATGGCAGGGATATGGATGATGGCGTTACTCTTTGCCACCTCTGAAATCTATGCCGATAATTTCGTGAACGTGATTATAATTGCAGTCATATTGATTTCTCTTTTCACTGTGATTTTCTCTTATACAGTGATATGGATTAGAATGAATTGTATGTCACCAATATCGAGTAACGCAATACCTAGACGTGATAGGAAGTTGACGGTCACGCTTCTAATAGTCACTGTGATAAGTCTGTTATTTCCATTTCTTGTTTTAAATGTAATGTCTTTTTTCGACCCTCAAAGTTTAGGAAGTCTAGGAAACATTGTCATGGCAACCAAGTTTTGTCACTATGGCAACTCTCTCATCAATCCTATTGTTTACGCTCTGTGCATGCCTGATTTCAAGAGAGCTCTTCGCATGCAGATAGTTTGTTGTGATTCTATTCGAAAACAAGCAGCGTTTCTGCATGAAAGCCGTGAGGGAAACAAAGTTAGTGATGGCACCTACCAGGAACACAGACTTGAAAATTACCATGGAAACTACAATGAAGACCACGATAAGACCAGCAAACACCATGGGGACAACAATGCACACCGTGATAAGACCAGCAATCGCCATGGGGACAACAATGCACACTGGATAAGACTGCCAGCAATCACCATGGAGACAACAATGCAAACTGTGATAAGACCAACAATCGCCATCGAGACAACAGTGAACACAGTGAAAAGACCAGCAATTGCCATGGAGACAACAGTGAACACAGTGAAAAGACCAGCAATCACCATGGAAACAACAATGAACACTTGTGAGAAGACTGCCAGCAATCACCATGGAGTCAACACAAATATTTCGTCTACACGTATGGATGAAATGAGAACACTGACAACACTGGCCGTTGACAATGAAGGATTTGTAAATGAAACTAACCAAGATATTAAACTATAACCCATTTGCAATCAGAGGTATCGAAAAATAGAGAAAACACTTTTAAGCTACAGTAATTATAAACTTGATAAAACATAGTATATTTAAGAAAACACTTTTATTTCCGAGCTACAGTTAATATAATACAATGTAGTGTATGTACAGTTGTTACAAAGTAATTCACAATCTAGGAAACATATTGCCATCAAACTAATGATGCTATAAATTACAGAAAACACAAAAAATACTGGTAACATCAATTTATCTGGTATTTAAAAATTCTTTAAAAGTCAAGGAAAATAAGAACAGCTATTTTCACCTCTTCCCCCAAATAGGTCAATGTTATTCTCCCTTGTCCTTAGGAACTTTCATAAAAAAGCACTTGAATTACTTAATTTTCAGCTCGTATCTTTCCAGTTTAATAAAAATAATTACTCTTAAAAAACTCTTTCAAAGAAAGGAGACATGGATACAATTTTCTGGGACCACAACTCACAGAAAAATTATCTGCAAGACAAAAAGGAAGTAATACCTTTTTTTCTCTTTTTTTTCTTTTCATTTGCATAGTACATAATGGAGGGTTATTTACACAATTTGACATGAAAAAATCTAGAGAAAACTAAAACTAAATCATTACTTTTTCTTGTATGAGTGAGATGAACTACTCCGTGATAATCTATCTTTTATACTTCTTTTCCCAGCTTGATTGGTTTTCATTGGGCTTACATATCTAATAGGTGTGCGAGATACTCTGCTGCTTCTCCATCTAGAGACTGGTGTGCTGGTTTTGTTTTTGCTGAACAAGACAGCATCAACCTCACTAGATTCCATTGCCTTGTGTGTTGCTAGGGCTTGTCCAAGGTTATCCAGTTTGGACTGGAGTTCAGGGAATGCCTAGAAAAGGACAACCATATTTATTTCAGGGTTAAGGGGTGCATATAGATTCTAGATGGATTACCATGAGGAGGTGAAGAATATATATGAAACCCAGTCATCCCAGACCTCCTATATATCCTATATTTCCTATAATTTGTATAGGATACTATAAAGAGCCTATATTTAAAGAAAACCTCCTATATTTCCTATAAATAGGACAACTGCTGAGTGATACATTTACATTTTACACTGTTTAGCATATTTGGCTTTTTTTTTTTTTGGTTCTGTCTTTTTTATGGCTTATTTGGTTCTGCAAATAAATCATTGCCTGTTCACCCTCCCTGTAAGATCCCTGGTTACGCCACTGAAAAGCTATTTTAGCTCCTATAAAGTGCATATATTTTTGGGAAAAACTCCTATATTTTCCTATATTTAGAACTTGCACAGCCTATATTTCCTATCAAATTTGTCTAAAATGTGGCTGGGATGCCTGGAAACCCCATCCATGGTATTCTACAAATAATGTACCAGGAAAAGAGATAGGAACAACACCCTTATAATACTGTGTAACTATGTTTCATACGTACAACTTTGTTTTAAGCATAAATGTCATGGCAAGCCTCACTCGAATAACTGTTTCCCTAAGTTCATTGTCTCCTAATATCATGACACAATGCATAAGGCTCTGTTGAATTACATGTGTCAATAAAGTCATAGCATGTCTCACCTTTGATATCTCTGTCAAGTCTTCAATTGCTTGTTTTAGCCTTTGATTACATTCAACATCTAAAAGCAAACAAATAATTAAAATAAAAGTGACTAGTGTACTGAAATTCTCCCTGTATTGTCTTGGAGTTCTTGATAATCTTACAACATACCCTGCTGGCAGAGTCCAGGGCACAAAATTAACTTTTAAACCCACTAGCAAAACCTTGCTAGTAAGTTTTGTTCTCATTAGAAAAAATTTGAAAGTCACTAGCGATTGGACACGGTGAACAACAAACATTACTTGATGCAGGTTCTAAACTTTTCAGTCCTTGAATTTCTGGACAGTGGCCAAAACGTAGCTAGTTAAATTAAAAATACAAAATTTTATCCACATTTTGCGAGTTTGCGAGCATTAATTTTGTTCCAAGGAGTCTACATTTACCTATTCTTTGAGCAAGAGAAAGAAGGGAAAGATGAAATGGAGACTGCTGACTTGGCATTTATTGTGGGGAGGGGTTGGTAGACGGCAGTTTTTAATGGACAAGATAGCATCCTATTCAGGGTATGAACTGGAAGAAGGTACTCCTAGTCCTTTTATGCTACTGAGGTCAAGAGTAAAAGCCACTGATGTGCTGTTGTTATAACCATTAGTGTTTTGCCTTTTCTGCCACAAAGCATTTGGCTTAACAGGCTGTCATTTTATTTGATGAAATCTAGTTGAAGCCCACCAACAAGCGCAAGTAGAGGTACAATAGTCCTTACCTTCTGCTATATTAACTGCAGTGGATTGAATAGCATCGGTCTTTAATGATGGATTATAGGCATCCTAGAATGATAAACAAGTATCAGATTAAGCCATGTTTTACATGGGCAGCATAGCACTCCACAGCTGATAAATACATCTAGAACCTTGTTTGATAATCAGATGGGAATTCACAAGTTGGATGTGATGTGGCCTCTTTAAAATACATGTGACCCCTAAACAACTTTCAAAAAATAACTATTTGTGCTCATCCCTTCCCATAAGAATAACAGGACAATAATAATAGAGACCTTTAGATCCGACAACAAGTACAAGTACGAGTGTTTAACTTTTAAAGAGAGGCACTATCTTTTCGTAGCTGTGATCATGTACGTAGATTGAAGCTTTAGATTGTAAAAAATCGGAAATCGACTACGATTTTGTGTTAACCACATGCACAGGGCCAATTTCAAAACTAATACTTGTACTCAATCTGATACTCATCGTCGTATATCTAAAGGTCACTATTGACATGGTGAGGGCCACCAAGACCAAATCTTTTGTCAAAGTCAACCAACATGGCAGATAAGACACCACACGTACTGTGACCTAAGAATACTATCCCCTCCCCCCAAAAAATTATCTGGAACGCTACACAAAATGTAAATATAAAGTATTGATGGTCTAGTGTGTTCACCTACCACTATTTGTACTTTATACTGCAGTACATTTTTCACAGCTTCAGTGATAAGGGGAGGGTATTCCTTGCGCTTTTTTGTCGTTTCCCGTAACAATTCTTCTAGTGCTGACCACATGTCATTCACTTCTCTCTTTCTTTCAACGTTGAGGGGCTCCACTGTAGATATTGAAAGTATATCAATGACATATCTTAGAATTATCACATGGCCCAGTTGTAAGAAGTGTGGATAGCGCTATGCGACAGATAAATCTTATCCAGTGGATAAATTTATTGGATAACAGCATCAACTCGGTCACTGAAGATGGATTTATCCATCGGATAGCACTATCCACCTTTCATACAAATAGGCACAGATCTCTATGGATGGGGTCTAAGTTGAAAAGAAAAACAGTAGATTTATTAAGAACTAAAACTTAAGACTGATCAATATGATATCAGCTGTTTTTCCTTATTTCAACATGATTCTAGTTTTTCTTCATAATCAATACATTCTTCTGTCATGAGAATCGAGTACTTAAATGCTTTCATAATCTTTTAAGTTAAATATTAATATTTTCTAAGAAGTAGGGTTTATTTTTCGTTCACATACTTTGTTCTTGACACGAAGTCGTCTCGTGTGCTGCTTGTGCCGGTTCATCCACCCAATCTTTCCCATTAACAGACACATTTCTCTTGACACTTTCCTCAATCGCGTCCTTGTAAAGCTGTCAACGATCAAACCTTTCTTTAATCATGGAACAAGCACAACTAACGTTCAAAACGCAACACATTTGATCAACAATACACAAAAATACCCACCTCAAATAAACTTTTTTCGAAGTCTTTCTTCTTTTCGTTATCCCATGACTTCGCATTAGCAATATTACTTATTTCTTTCTTCAGTTTTTGGTGTATTTTAAGCACAGTTTGTTGTTTCTCCACCCAAATCTTCGATTCATCCGCCATCTTGAATTTTTCCCGCTTTTTGAAATGCGCATGCGTCAGTACTCCCCCCGCAAAGCATCATGTATAGTTTCAAGATGTCTGCCGTAAGTATTTGATGTTTTGAGTTCCTTCTGTGTTTTTTCCCTAAATTTTACCTTCTCTTTAAGCGTTTTATTTGTTATTTTTGGCTTCCTAGGGTTCCTTAACCATCCTTGCCGATTATGAAGACGATGATACTGATGCAGAGGATACTGCGTAAGCTCTTTCGTAGTTTTTTGAAATCCCTAACGAACGCGTTCTGAGTTTTGACGTACGACGACGACGGCTACACTGCGACCACCAATCTAGTGGGGATGAATAAATATTGGCAGAATAGTAAAGCTCGGTGCATTAACCTTGGAGTGTTACTAGAGAATCCGTTGTTAGGTTGTTTTTATTTTGGATTTTGTGAAAACACCTAAAACATGCCGCTGTGCATATGCTAACTAGCCTTTAACAGTAGCACGTGATGACATGATTGTAGAGATCAAGCTTTCCAGATCAAATACCACTGTGTTGGGAAATAGTGGTACTTTGGGGGATTATATAGCATATAATATAATATAATAGCATATATTTTGGGTAATACATGAATATTTTTTCTGCAAGTATAATGGGTGCTATATTGCTGTAATATTGACAAGTCTGGCATTTGCACATGCATATTAATAGAGGGTACATGTGACATAAATCTTTAGTATTGCATGGCTGGGATGTAGTGAGGTCTCGGTCATAGAGTGAGGGGGAAGCGATGTACCATTTTGCTGCCAAATCATTAAATACACATTTTATCATTAGATTTCCCTGCCATATATGCAGCTCATAAAACTTTCTTTTATTACATAAAGTAGATCTATTCTAAAATAGTGAAAATATTGCATTGTGGTCTAGCTTGGGTACAAACATTTTTTGTTGATCAATAATTATATGGCCTTTTTAACCCAAGTTAGACTACAATGCACCACCATTTTATTGATCAAACTCAGACAAGTGCAATGGTGTCTGCCAATTAGGATGATGTCTAGTATAGGCCTTAAATCAAATGAATTTTGCTCTTGTTGCTATAGAAACCCAGAAAGTAAGGCATATGGCAGTCACTTAAGAGGAACATTTACAGTGTCACAAGATGGAAGATGTCCTCGCTGTAAAACTGACAGTGTTTTATTTGTCATTCTTGATGAGTATGTAAACACCTTTCCTTGCTACTTGCTTTTTACTGCTGTTTTTGATATTCTGCAAACTCTGACGTTTTAACAGCTGGCTACCATAGGTTACTACTATCATTTTACTACAGCTGCCAGAATGATTATCAACTTTACTTTTAATTTAACAATTTTATATGAATTTTTTAAAAAATCAGTGACAAAAAAAATGTGCCGGATATTTTGCAAATGTTGTAATAAATCATTCATTTGTATCAGGTTGTTTCCCACGGGAGATATGCCAGAGATCCTCTATACCTTGATAGCTAAAGGCAAAGCTGTTCTGTGGTCCAGCCAAGACAAGAAAGGGTGTAAGGTAAACAAAGACTCCATGTTGGTTTGCTGCATATCCAGTGCCTCTGCATGTATGCTGTGAAATTAGTGACATCAACCCATCGAATACTAATACTTCCCACTCCTTCTATTTTCTTATAACTCTTTATATCATTATAAAATGGGATTTTTATTTCTCTGTGGAATAAGTGTATGAGCAAACAAAGGTTATCAAAGGTTTAATCTGTGAGTTAACAGTGTCTTGACTTTGATCAGCCCAGAGATTGTTACAGGGTTTAACAAAATTTTGATCTTTTTTATTTTTTTTAAATAAAAACTTACTTTCCCAGTAAAGTTAGGGAATTTGAGTTTTTGTCATAACATTTTTATTTTTTTAAAATTGGTCCTTTGTTCAACTGAATGTACATGTAACTACGAAATCCTTAAACCTGGTTTTTGGTGGCAATTTATTATAAACTACATATATATTGTTAACGATATTACAAGTTTTTGCTTCAAGGGTCAATAAGCAAGTAAGTATTCATTCATATTCTTGTTTTGATAACTATAACAGTTATTCCAGCTTTGATTTATTCTCAGGTCTGTGTTTGAATTGATTCTTTCTCATGCTTTTGATATTGTCGTCAAAATTATGGATTCTCATGATTTCATTAATTCATAATTTGGCAAAAAAAAAAAAAAAAAAAAATGAAAGAAATCAAGAAATTTGAGAGACTCTTGAATCCTATAAATTATTTTAATACTGTGTTATTAACATATTAAACATATTATAGATATCATTTCAGTAATATATTATTCAATCCTTGTAATGCAATGGATTATGGAATTAAGAGGATACTGTATCATTGCTATTATCACAGGCTCCGCCCACCTTTCTTTGCCGAGGATTTTGCCCCCCAGATCCTTTAGGTGCAGGCTTCAATATAGACTGGTCCAGGAACTCTCTAAAAGACATCTTTTTTTCTGCAAAAACAATAGACACAATGGTATGTTCCATGCTCTTAAAAAAATGTATATTTAAATTAATTCAAATTTTATTGAACAGAACAAAATTACAAAATTAATATAATTGTGATTTATGTGTAAAAACGACCTTAATCTTTTTTTTTTTTTACTTTTGTAAAATAAAATTCTGAGATTCCAATGGATAAAAGTATGAAATGATTGTAATATTTTAACATGTAATGTAGATTTATTATAATGATACTGATAGATAATGTTTATTTTTGAAATGGATTTTCTATTTTTCAAAAATGAAGGATGCTGCTTCTGAAGATCATATCAGCTCACAACCAGGTAAGGATTCGTTTTTCATTTAAGATTCATGTCACGCCTTGATATTTTAAATAATATTTATGGCATATAAGATAATAATGCTAATAATTAGCAGCTAGGTCACAATTAATATTGGAATGCAAGTTACGTTCCTTTCCCCCGCCACACTTTTAGTTAATTCTTGTCTTTGCTTATTGCTTTGTAAATTGCTTATTTCTATCCCTTGTTTATATCATTGGTTGCAAATTCATTCAACTAAACTAAATAATTTCAAATAGAATTTAAAGGACACTCTCTATTTTGCTTAAGTGACCTGAAATAAAACAGATTTCTGATTGATTCATACAGGAATATACAATGAAATTGATGAAAGTGAGAACAAAGAGGAAGATGTACAAGGTATCTATAGGCATACAGATTTCATGTAAAGGCTTTAAAAAACATGGGAGTACATTTTTATGATTAGAAAGAGATTCAATCATAATAGTAATAACCTCTCTACCTTGGGTAATGTTTTCCTATTTCAGACCATGTGTCATTCCCTAGAGTATCCTTTCTTTGTTTAATGGATGAAAACGAGAAGACACATGAATATAGACACAACTCAATCAAAGAATCTTATTCCCAAGTAAAAGTATGACACATGGCCTGAAATGGGAAAATATTGTGCCCAAGTTAGAGGTCACTCGTGTGAAGTCTACTTTTGTTTTAAATCATATCTGCAAAACTGAATAATGTGATTTTTATATTAAAATGTTACAGTTTACTTAACATTGATAAATGTTGTTTCTTCGGAACCTTTTCAATTTATTCTTAATATGTACATAATAGTAATTGCTATTAAAAGAAATTAATTGAAATATCAATTTTAGAAACAGCCGAAGTCTCCAATAATGAGGACAATGAAAATGATGATGATAATGAAGAGGAAGAAGAAGATGATGATGATGAAATTGATGAAGATGAACTGATAAAGCAAATGTTAGCAAAAGAAGCAATGAAAACCCAAGAAGATATAAAGGCTGATTCAATTCAGCCCAGTGTCTCTAGTGAAATTACAGAAGCTGAAAACTCTGAGCAAACTTCATCGGAAACAAAAACTATTTATTACGCTCCATCTTCTACCAATACCACGGCTAATAATGATGATGACAATGATGATTCAGTGCCTATTATTCACAGCTGTCAATCATCATCAGACACAAACAAAAATCAACAGTACCCGGTTTCGAGTGATGGTACCTGCCCCTTCTGTACTTCTAAAAATGTTCAATATATCATCGTCTGTTCTTCGGACCTGCAGGATAAAGACTTGCCATATACACTCCGAGAACTACTAAAGAGAGATCAAGCTTTCAAGATGGCAAAAGGTCAGTCCATGTTGTATGTGTAGTACCCCTTTAAGCTATTACAAAATCTTCTCACTAGGATGCAATAGTTGTGAAATATGTCTACATAAATTAGATTATGCATTCTTCATAAGATTATGCTTTTGTAGTTTCTTGAAATTGTAAACTAACAGGTTTTTTTTATTTGTTTTTCTTTTAGGTAAATTGCTGTTATTTTGTCTTGTATTGGTAGCAGTGGCTTTAGTTACAAAGAGCTAATAGTTTCACGTAGCAGTTATCTTGGATTATTGGTGTTTATAATTAGAATTTAGGTTGTACAAGATTAAAGTCTGCTAGATTTACTTGTGTCAACAATCAACGAAAATTTTACCTCTGCAAATCGACCTCAAACACCTCCCTTCTACAATTGTATCTGTTTGATTTGTTTGTTTTATATATACTTCACATTTTAGTTTCTGCAATTTTTAATTACATTTTTCATTATATTATGTGTTATTTGCGATCCCCAAAGCTTTGAGAAGCACAGGTGGTGTAGCAGTGAAAGGACTTGCCTCTCACCAATGCGGCCCAGGTTCAAGTCCCGACCATCTTGGTGTTGTGTGTGAGTTGAGTTGTTCAATAGTTCTCTCCTGTGCTTCGAGGGTTTTCCTCCCTCCGCAAAAATCAACTTCTAAATTCCAATTGGAATTCAGTGGAAGAAGAGCCACTCTGTGGAATCCACTGTTAATCTCATTATTATTATTATTATGGAAGTTGTATACTTAATGCTGCCTAGGCATTATTACATTCAGTCAGGCAGGCTAGCTGTGACCGACTGCTACTACTACTACTACTATTATTATTATTGTTATTATTATTATTACTATTATCACTATTATTATTATTATTATTGTTATTATTATTATCAAAAACAAACAAGTGAAAGCAAGCATTATAGCATCTACAACAAGGCAACAAAGGCAAAGAAAAAATCTTTTTAAACCAATAGAAGCAAGAAAGATTAAATAAACCGACATAATGTGTTAAGAAACCAGTTCATCACATTTAAATTGGCAATCTCTATGAAAAAAATTTCCACGCTTATCATGTTATATAAGCTTTAAAAGGATGTAGAAAATAATCAAATACAGAGTAGCTAGTGCATGGCTACTAACCAGTAACACTCTTTATCCAATTAAGATTTATTTAAAGGCTCTTCACAACAAAACAACCTCATAAAATAATTTATCTTCATTTTGCTGTTCTAGGAAATCTCTTTTTCTAATTGTTTTTGCCTGCTTTAAACCCTCTTTGAAGGTCCAACTACTTAGCATCACATTTTGAGATCTTTTTCTTTGGTCACCCCTTGAAGCCCCCCTTATCACCCAGAATTAGGATTAAAAGGACTATGCTAGAAGGGAACTTATGATGTCACTAGTACTACATTGTATCATTAATAGACCTCTTCACATTGTGCATAATGTATTCCTATTTCAGACCATGTGTTATTCCCTAGAGTATCATTTCTTTGTTTAACTGTTACACATGAGAAGACAAATATTCACACAGCTCAAACAAAAGGTTTTATCATCAACAGAATGACATGGTCTGAAATGGAAAAAGGTTATGCCCAAGGACTATACTTTTAACAAAAGAAAGAAATAAACAGCACCATCTCTCATCCAATCAGAATGCTTAGTGTTTTGCTCTATTAAACATGTGACAGTGTTGTGTCGGTGCTTTATGTTATTATTGGACAAAGATCAGCAAGTTAAATTAATATTTCTTTTTTCTTGACAGGTGCGAACGACCCACCATCATTTCTTTGTCAAAACTGTCAGTATGGCTTCAACCTAGACTGGTCTATTACTAACCTAGAGCTGATATTTGGCATCCCAAAGAAACCATCCAAGAAGCAGGCAGCTACTGCTTATGGGGTCACATCTCAAATGGGGTATCCACCTCCAAGGGTACCTCCTATGGTACCTCTAGCTAATGTACCTCCTCCATCTTTACCTCCCAGAGGGTTCCCTCCACCCTATCCAGGGATTCCCCCACCAGCAGTACCACCACCAGGACTGGCACCACCTGGAACATTCCCACAGCCGCCCCCAAGGATACCCCCACCAAGGGTTCCGCCTCCATATTTACATGTTCCTCCAAGGCTCACACCACCACCTGCATACCCTCCAAGAGTCCCTCCACCAGGACATGTTCCTCCAGGGATGCCACCACCACCTGGACAAGCTTCACCACGGCTACCACCACATGTTTCTCCAAGGCTTCCACCAACCCCACCTGGACAAGCTTCTCCAAGATATCCAATTCCTGGCTCATCACCTCATATGCCAAGAGCACCACCCATACTACCTAGGGTTCCTCCTCCTGCTGGGCAGTACCCTAGGGTGCCTCCTAGGCACCCACCACCTATAGACTATCAGTATGGCTATCAGCAACAGTTCAGACCTCCTGCTGGCTACCCACCAGTACAAGCTGGATACCAAGGGTATGAAATAGCTTATTTTTACCCCACTGGTTTTCTTATTGCCAAATCCTTAATGTTATTTTGTGGGGGTAATTTTTCTATTTCAGGTACCCTGGATATGGCCATACCAACCCATACTACCCAATGCAAGGACCACCCATGCCGCCACCACCTGGGCAGTTTCCATATCAACAACCCCCATACTATCAGCCGGCTGCTGGGTACCCTCCCATGCAGCCACCTGGGTACCACCAACCTCCAGCCCCTGGAACGCAATACTGCCCACCAACCCGACCGCCAACATCACATCCATCATCCTACCACAGAACACATTATACGACATACCCAGGACACACATCAAAGTCAGAACCACAGACAGTAACAGCAAAGGAGAAGGAACATGAGGACAAAGAGATAGATCAAGTTGTGGATGATCAGCAGTCATTAGAAGATTCGCACAGATTTGAAGAACTGTTGAACCAGATTGACCATAGTCGTGGTGTCACTTCATCTGAAGGAAGCGGTCTAGATGTGGATTTGAGTCAGAATGAACCCAACTCGATCAGTGAGGAGCAGGGTGATGCTGATTATGATGAACGACCACCTGGAGATGATTATGATGATACCACACCTGAGTTTGAGACTGTGCCTTCTGGTAAGTAAGATAGATGGTTATTAGGTGGTTTCTTCTTTCTTTCTTTTTTTCCTTCCTCCTTTCCTTCCTTCCTTCCTTCCATCCTTCCTTCCTTCATCCTCCCTTCCTTCCTTCCATCCCTACTTTCTTCCTTCCTTCCTTCCATCCCTCCCCTCCTTTCATTCTTTCTTCCTTCCTTCCTTTATCTCTTTCTTTCTTTTCCTTTTAGGAATCTTTCTTCTAGCGTAGCAAGTAATTGTGAAAGCAGCCAAGTTTATCCTCTATCTTTTTCTTTCCCTTTACAACCACTTATCCATCCTTTTTTCTTGTCATTAGGTTACAGCAAAATTCACTTGCTTCTCAATAGCATGAGCAGAATTTTTGTCACATCAATCATTTAGTTTGTTTTATCTATTTCTCAGCCACAAAGAAATGGAAATCCAAAGTGGAAAGTGAGGATCCTATAACTAACCTAGAGCCTTCAGGTGATGCTATGGAAACAACTACCATGAAGACCCAAGTAACAAGCTGCAACATCACAGAACCTATTGACTCTGAAGAACAAGATACCACTGTACCATATCAGAACCAGGCTGAAGAGTCAGAAGAAGCCATGGAGATGACTGATGAGTCTGCTGCCAAGGATACCGATGTCAAGGAGACAGTTGCCAAGAAGATTGTAGTGAAAAGGACACCCAAAGGAAGACGAGGACGTAAGAGGAAGGCTGCAGAAAAACCACAGGAAGAGAGTGTTACTAAGCAACCGAAAGTCACAGATGATAGTTCGCAGGAAGATAGTGAAGAAGTGAAGCTAGATGCTGTTTGTGAGGAACAAAAACTGATGGAGAAGAGTGCCAAAGATGAAAATGAAGAATCACTGCCTGAAGAGGAATCAAAGCCAAATGCCAGAAGAGGAAAGAGGAAGAGAGCTACTAAGCAATCCAAGCCAGCCACCAAAGACGAAGTGTCTGAATCAAAAGAAATAAGAGAAGAAAGGAAAGACACAGAAGAGAATGTTACTAAGCACCCAAAAGTCACCAATGAGAGTTCACAAGAAGAAACTGAAGAAGTAAAGCTAGATAGTGTCGATGCTGTTGGCGAGGAACAAAAGCTGATAGAAGACAGTGCCAAAGATGAAAATGAAGAACCACTGCCAGAAGAGGAATCCAAACCAAATGCCAGAAGAGGAAAGAGGAAGAGAGCTACTAAGCAATCCAAGCCAGCCACCAAAGACAAAGTGTCTGAATCAAAAGAAATAAGAGAAGAAAGGAAAGACACAGTCTCTTCTGAAATTTCCAGCACAGAACCTTCAGAAGATGAGCAACCATCTAAACGAGAAGTAGGTGTAAAAACTGTGAAAAGCAAAGCAAGAAGGTCCAGAAACGTTGAGGATGAGACTGAAGAATTGGCTCAGTCTTCAAGTGTAGAGACCGAGGTTCCTTCTCCTACTCCCACCAGACAGCGACGAGGAAGGTCACAAGGCAGATTATCTGACAAGGACACTGGAACCATGACTGTAACTGATGAGAAAGCAGATTCTGTGTCTGCCATTACTTTTACCAGACAACGAAGGGGGAGACCACAGAAGGATGTTGATGAAAAGGAAAGTGAACCCAATATGGAAACAGCTGAGTTCCCTCAAACAAATCCAGAGACACCCAGAAACGAAGACCCAAAGTCTGGCTCCTCTGCTACTAGAAGAGGAAGAGGGCAAGCACAGCAAGGTAACAAAGCTGAAGCAGTCGTTACAAACCAAACTGATGAGGTGACCTCAGTGAAAACTGATGACACTACTGTCACTACTGGTTTAAATACTACACCAGATGAGTCCCAACAGCACAAAATGGAAGTGAAAGATGGTATCGAAAAGAAGAAAGACAACAGTGATACAGAATCTACTGATTGTAAACAGCCAGATGTGGAGACACCTTCTGAAATTACAGCTCCTGTCAGGAGAAGAAGTGGACGATCACTGAGGGGATCTTCCAAGAAGGATGACACTACTGTACCAGAACCTACTGATTCTAAACAGCCAGATGTGGAGACACCTTCTGAAATTACAGTTCCTGTAGGGAGAAGAAGTGGACGATCACTGAGGGTATCATCAAAAGAAGATGACACTACTGTACCAGAACCTACTGATTCACAGCAGTCAGATGTAGAGACACCTGCAGCAAGTATGGCTCCTGTAGGGAGTAGAAAGGGACGATCACTAAGGGGATCTTCCAAGATGGATGACACTGATTCACAACAGTCAGATGAAGTAGAGGAACCTATAGGACACATGGCTGCTACCAGAAGAAGGAGCGGGAAATCAACAAGAGGATCTTTCAAGAAGGCTGACACTTCAGTGACTCCAGAAGCTGTGTCTCAAGCACTGGCAACCACACCACTTGATGAAAGTGCATCTCCTGATGTAGATCATCATTCTAAGCCTTCCACTTCAAACAAAGGAAGAAGGAAAGGGAATAAACAGAAACAACCTGATCATGACAGTAGCTCTCCACAAGTTGAAGAACAGAGCTCTGAAGAAGACGTTGTTACCACAAAGCCTACAAGAAAAAGACAGTCTTCCAACATGAGCAAAGATGTTGATTCTGATAGCACTCCACCAGTTGAAGAACAGAGCAAACACGAAGAGATAATAGTTGGCAGCAAAAGGACTGTTAAGAACAAAGGCAAAACAATACGGAAGGGAACCACGCTGAAAAACGATCACACTGGAGACACTTCAGCTGATGTAGAAACGTCTGATCAGGAAAAATCAAATGCTTTAAGCACAAAACGCCTTCATAAAACATCACTAAACAAGGATGAATCAATGAACACCTCCGTTACAGATGATGAAGCAGCAGTATCAGATAACATAGAATCACCTGCTAGGCCTCCTCATGAACCCAAAATAACTCCAGCAAAGACATCTCGACGTGTACTTAGAAAAAGAAATTAGGCAGCATTATTGAATCATTTTCATACAGGACAAAAATCATAAATGTGCTCAATTTAACACTGTTTTTTTTCAGTAACAGGACGTTTTCATGATATCATCATTGACTTCTACCACCAAACTCCCTTGCACACTTTCTTTTGTTCAGTTAGTTAGACTCATTGTCTTACTACTCTCATAAGGGAATACAAATTTAAATAAGAGAGAAAAAAGCGAAGCATCTTGGTTGTGGAAGTCAAATTACACCATCATGCAATCATACTATTCAAGAGTACAGAAGTAGTACGTACTGCTAAACTACAACACAACTCTTAAATTTCACTACATTTTTTCACAACACATCTAAAAACAACAAATATTTAACCTCATTTGCATTTCATGTTTATATTCGGATTACAAAACGAATGATATAGTCATTAAATAGTCCATCCTTTTAGGCTATAGTCCATGCTTTTGGCCAAAAATGACCCATTTTGAATTTTTTTTGAATAATGCAATACTTTGAAAAAGGTGCGAAAAACACCCAAAATCCATCAAAACCATGGGCTATAGTCCATGCTTTTGGCCAAAAATGACCCATTTTGAACTTTTTTTTGAATAATTCAATACTTTGAAAAAGGTGCGAAAAACACCCAAAATCCATCAAAACCATGGGCTATAGTCCATCCTTTTTGGCCAAAAATGAAACGTTTTGAACTTTCTTTCAATAATGCATTTATTTGAAAATGGTGCGAAAAAAACCCAAAATCCATCAAAACCATGGGCTATAGTCCATCCTTTTTGGCCAAAAATGACCCATTTTGAACTTTCTTTGAATAATGCAT